GTTGTACTCTTCACTTGAGCGAAACTTCTTGCGCTCGAGCGGCTCAACTTATTATGTCGGGTCGCTAGAGCAGCACTTCTAACGCTCGAGTGATTTGTGCATATATCAGTTTGTGAAAAGCCACTTTTGAGTCACTTTTTCATCTCTCTCTCTCTAAAGTTTTCAAAACGCTAGATCCGTACCCTTTCTCTCTAAACTCTACTTCTTTCTACAAATCCACCTAAATTCGTCAAGTTCTTCACCCATGTCTCTTTGTTAAGAAGGTAGAGCACGCCATGGGCTTCCTTTTAATTAGAGCAAAGTTGATTTTCAGCGTCTTTGGGTTTGCTACACTCTATTTCTCGTCTTCTAAGCTTGAGGTAGGGATTCTTCGCACTTTCTACGAGTTTTAACTTAGTTATTTGCTATTTCTAAACAATATTGCGATTTTGGAGATTTTTGAAACAAACCTAGGGTTTTGGGTAAAAATCAAAAAAGAGGTTTTCAAATGGATTCTTGGAAGTAATTGTGGTGTTGAAAATAAAGTTGAGTTGTGATGAAATGGTTGATTTTAATACTTGAGATTGATTTTGAAAGAAAAATGGATTTTGCCCTAAATGTCTCAATTGTTGATTTTGTATAAAGAATGTAGTTGATATTAAAATTGTGAAATTGGATTGATATTGATGAGGATGGTGGAGTTGGATATACATTATCACTCACCTCTTGAAGTTTGGATAGTTTATTTTTATTGAAAATTATTTATCTATTTAGAAATATCTGTTTTGGGCTATTGGTGGAGGATATCTATGATTGTTGTAGAAATTGCATGAGAATTAGGAGAATTGAAACTATTGTCTTATCCATTTGCCGCGGGCATTATTTGATAGTTTTACATTGGAAATATTTATCGTTTTGAGAAAATGGATGAATCTGGGAAGTATGTGTTGACTTGTTAAAATAAGTTGGCCTGAGTGTCCATAGTGCGCGTATACATGGGTGTCGATCCTGCAGATGAAATATCCATAAAATGGAAATAGTAGTGATTGTATAGCCCACGTTTACATGGGTGCCAGCATACGATTTCTCACGGACAAAATTTCCGTGAAAGGTTGTAATTGTTTTGAAATTCCCAGAGTGTTATTCACTGCCCTGGTTTCTATTGTAAAAGAAATGATTTATGAGCTATGATATTCATTTGGCATTGCATGGTTTTGGAAAGAGATATAAAATATTTTGACACGAGCATTGTATATGCATACACCTTATATCTTTGTTAAGATTCATATACTGTGTTAGAGTATTTCTACTGGGTTTTGGCTCACCTTATGTGGGAAAACATTTTCAGGTGATGATAACATGCCTCCGCCAAGGCAATAACTTGGGAGGACTTGGAACAAGGGCTTCATTTTTGTTAAATGTTGAATATGTTTTGTACAAGGCAAGGGCCTTTAACTGTATTAGATTCAAATCCACTTTTGTTGTAACCAAATACCATCTTGTGAAGTTGTAAGCCTTTAAGACATATATTATATGTTTTACTTTCATATCCTATCTCTTGTTGTAACATATGCTATAAATTCAGGGTTACACTTGTGAATGTGTACCTGTATATGTTACGCTTTTGTACAAATAACTGAGATTTATGGAAGATACTTACTTTATTATCGTTGGTAATTATTAATGTTGTTGATGGGTTATTGTATTTATTTCGGGGCGTTACAATCTTTACTCCATGTAGCTTAGCCCTTTATTATCATTCTATCAGGGCCCATCCCCCTACTATACTTCCTTGAAAGGAATAGTCTAGTCCCATCTAATGGGGTCGTGCCGGCTCGCCTGACATACTCAGCTCTGTTGTTTGGCACAAGTACCCGTAATTCAACGCTCCCTATTTTTTTTTCACATTTATTCAGATGTCTGTTTTGCAACGACGTAGTTCGGTGGGTTTTGGCTTTATTCGCCCCATCTTTGATGGGCTTGGATGCTCTGTTTGCTGTTTCAAGTATAACCTCTTTTTGGCTCCCACAAGAAGAAAAAAAACTCAAATCCTTAACCTCTAACTTTTGTGTTTGGTTGGGAGATTTGGAAAGGAAAAAGAAAAAGGTGTGTAAAAGTAGATCTATTTTATTCACATTTCACCTACCTTTTATTTTTTCTTTTCCTTTTTCCAAATCTTTTTCTAAATTCTCGAAGCAAACACAACATAAGTAAAATGCTAGGACACTTAGTGATTTTTGGGTTGTAATGGACCTCCTTTATTTTTTTGTGAGTGGACATTATCACACTGAAGATAAATACAATATTAATCATGATAAATTTTGAAAAGATGTACAAAAATTACTAAAATTCCATTAAAGGTTGCTAACGGTCTTGCATGGCATGTGATCCATCTTAAGATTTTTATTAACCTATTCTTGTCTCAACTATTGTGACAATCTTGCTTCAAATAAAGTATGTTATTCTTTGTTTTTCATATCATATTTTTATTTGTTAGTAAGATCTGCAAGTTGTTAGAACAAAATTAAACCTCATGGGGAGGTAGGGATGGCAATTTGAAACCGACCCGACGGGGATCCCCGATCCCGACCCCGATTTAAGCGGTTTTTCCCCGAAAAATACCCCCGACGGGGAGGGGACGGTATTTGAAAATCAATCCCCGATCTGTCACGGGCCGGGGACGGTGATCAGTGTTTAATCCCCGGCCCGGCCCGATCCCCGTCCCCGTCCCCGTCCCCGTCCCCGAATTTCCCCGAAGTGAAATTACTTTTATACCCCTTATATATATAATAATAATAATAATAATAATAATAATAATCATTTATAATAAACCAAACCAGTACTCACACTCTCTCTAACTCAGATATATCTCTCTCTCTCACTCTCATCTCAACTCTCTCTCACTCTCTCGTTCTTCTCTCTGCCAACTCTCTCTCTTCCAGTCACCGACGGCGATTCGCCCTCCTCTCCCTCCTCCGCCGATCTCCCTCATCCGCCAATTGAGCCACCACAACTCCACCACTGTTTGCGGCAGTCCGGCAATGACACCATCACCACTGTTTGAGCACTTTTTCTCTCTCTCTCTCTCTCTCTCTCCATCGATTTGTTATATATATATATATTAGATTTGTTATATATATATATATGTTAGATCTTTTTTTTTTTTTTTTTTTGTTCCTCATT